TTTTTTGCGTTCATCACTTCCTCGGTAACACTGACAAAACGCGAGGCAGCCATTCTGATATTTAGCGCTCCTGGCGTGAGGTGACTACAACGAGATATGACGCAATCCTCGACCAATCAGAGCGTGCGCACCTCTATCACACCAATGCTCATTAATCCCTTCAAGTTAATATTAGAGCGATGTTCGCAGTAATGAAGACTACTTAAATTAAGCAGTAGTGAGAGAAAAGGCCCTATTTTCACTACTGTCTAAGTAGTGTTCACTACTGCGAAGATTGCTTTCATACTCACTTCTTTATCCGCTGATCACATACATGATTTTCATGTACGGTCTTTTAATTCCTTCAAGATTTAAGTTGTTATTTATTTCAACGATTTAATTTAGGAAGAAAATAGAGGCCTTTTTTCGTAAGCAATTCAGAATTCTCAACTGCCATTTGCACGTAATAACAATTTTTTTTCTCTTCTTGATGGATTATTAACTTTTCTGGACGTTGTATTCTTCGCAATCATTTCCTGATCACCACTGATCAAAGCACAAAATTTCGACTAACGGCTGAAGATTTTTATTCTGAAAGAAGAGCACATCGGCTTGATGACACGAAGAAGTCTACTTTGTTTTCAATCCAAAAAAAGGAAATAGTTGTTATATCCAGACATCGGAAAGTTGCTACTGAACACATATCAAACAGATTATGAAACAAGAAAATAATTTATTTTTAAGAACGGCATGTAACGGCATGCCTATATTTTTCATTAACTCAAATAGATATTTTCAATACCGACTGCAACTCGTCATTTCAAAACATTTTCACAACTACACAGTAGTTACTTATGACAATATTTACACTGTTTCTCAAAGTATTTACAATATTAGCTGAGTTGCAATTGATGAATGCAAGAATGATCCTTGAGCAAGAAAACCTGCGCAGAGAGAAGAAAATAGATACAAAAACTGGGATCAGCAGCGTATCTATGCTTCTGTAGTAATATGCTGATTGATGCGTTGGAAGGTAATGATTCTTTTGTATCTGGAGGAGTAACAGTCTCGTGATGATGGAGAAAAGGGAATAAAATGTTTCAAAAGCCCACCATATCACTCGAGACGACACAGAGAATCAAAATAAGTGAGACTTATCTGACAAGGAATCAAAGGCTGCAAATGAAAGTATTTTGAGTTATTTCCCTCGATGACTTAAATTATCCGAGATCGACCGTTGTAGATTACAGCATATGTTAGAAATCTACCACTGTTTCTAAAACTGCTGTCGAAGAGCCGGTCAAGTAAGTGTTCGAGACCCATTTAAAGCATATAGAAATGAGGGAAACCATAAAATACAAACATGGGAAGATAGATGAATACCAGAGTAAATAAAGAAGATGATGTACCTGAGAGGGACGAAGGTTGGTTCAAACACAGGCAGACA